ATTTTCCACCGTGCCATTTGACTGCGGGTAAGTGGGAGAGCTTGTAACATGATCAAACTCATAAGTCTTTGAACTTCTTAAACTCCTGGGAGCTGAACAGTGGGCCATTGTTGCTTACTATCTTGTCCGGAATCCCATGTCTGGCCATATGAGGTTTGATTGATTGATTGATTGATTCACTTTTATTTGAATACGGTAATTTCATAAGTTACATAACTTCTTTACATGAAAGCCGTATGGAAACAGAAGTAAATACTGTAAAACTACACTAAAAATATGTACAAATAGTAAAATATAGTAAAATGTAGTCAACAGTTTGCCTGCCTACTAGCCAGTTTTCTTTTAAAGGTAGCTTTAGATTCGGACGCTTTTATGTCATTTGGTAATGAATCCCACAGCATTCCTCCTCTGTATGAGAAAGACCCTTTATAATAGTCTGTTTTTGGAACGTGGTCCAGTACAACATTATATTCCGCATTTCTTAGCATAGACTTATAAGGGTTGTTCTCACAGACATTCGAGAAAAGATCACTTAAGTAACTAGGTACATTTCCATTCACTGTATCATACATTAGTAGACTTAAGTGCCTTTGACGCCTTGAGGCAAGCTCTTCCCAGTCTAGTTATTTTCGTATTTGTGCTGAACGAACGTCATAACCATAGGCGTACGGGCAATTTTCGGCCAGGGGGGGCGGTAAACCATTTGCCCAAAAAATTCTTGCAAGTTGCCCAAATTTTTACAAAACAGTCGAAAAGAAACGAGGGCCATACGATGCAACAACATAGGCCGTACTGGCAGATGACAGTGCCTCGATACAGTTTTTCAGGGTCAATACCTGCCAAGTTTGAGCATAAACTATATCGCCATAAACAAACATTTGGAAAAATTGCCACCACAGTTGTATTAGAAAAAGATGAAAATTTGTCATGATCAGGGTTGCAATTATATCAGAGTTGTCACAGCAATGAAATGACGCCATTACCTATTATACTTGCAGCATTATTTCTCACTATGAAATCGTTCTCGGGAGCTTTTTCCTCCAATAGTGGCCTCGATGTTCATGAAGTTAAAACGGACTGTGAGAGTGTTATCGTGATATTTTGGGATAAAGTTTTTATAGTTAGAAATACAGTAAAAAAGGAAAATGTTGATGTTTAGCCATTATCTGTAGAAAACAAAGCACTTTTGACATGCAATTTCACCTCATAGTAGCTTCAATCTATTTAAAAGTGTGTGAATTAATTTAGAGATAATTCTGGTCAATTGCTACAAAGAAGGATTTCATTGGTATGTATCATGGCGCTCTTGTTAGCGTTTTTGTAATCATTTCGGTCTACTTTAACAAATTAGTGAATAAGTTGAACCACTTGATAGATTCTTTTAGAAAAACTAAGATTCTTCTCGTAATTCAAAGTGAGAATTAGTCAGCCACTTCTTCACTTTCAGATCAATCGCTGATGCTCTGTCTCATACACTGTTCTACGAGCGGAGATGATTCTAGAAAGTTAGGCAAGGGTGGTGCAGTGGTGAGAGCACTCGCCTCCCAGGAATGTGGCCCGGGTTCGAATCCTGACGTCGATGCCATACGTGGGTTGAGTTTGTTGTTGGTTCTCTCCCTTGCTGCAAGAGGTTTTTCTCCGGGTACTCCGGTTTTCCCCTCTCCTTGAAAACCAACACTTTCAACTTCCAATTAGATCTGGAACGCACGGACACATTTCAGCGAGTTCTTATGAACTCCTTAGTGCTCCGTGGGTAAACAAATTACAATTTATAATTTCAATTTTACGGGTGGAAGTTTATTCTAATCAATTGACGATTGGAAATAGCCCATTGCAGTACAGTGCCCAACGATAAAATAACTCAGCATATGATACTCTTCCCTTATAAACAGAAACTCATCACGTGCTTGGCAACCACTGTCTCGTGTGAATGTAACTGGATTATTAATTATGATTACAGCTGATTTCAGTGCTGTGTATACACCCTGATTTTTAGACATGATTCGACGGTCATGATTCGACTGTCATGATTCGACCGAGAGGTTACCAAGCAGTACAGTATTTTACCTTGAATATCCTACAGGAATCAAAGCACACAACCTGAAAGTTACTTTAATGATAACTTGAATTTTTCTCTTGTAATTCAGAAAAAGAGGAGCATGACCCATAATTTGTTCTCCTTTTCAGACAACAGCCTCTCATACAAGCCACGCAATCTAATCGCAAGTCATCGGGCGTGTGGACGTCTCGATCAATAAGTTTTTCGGCTCTTTTCTCAACTTTTTTTAAGCTTTTACCTTGATCTTTAGAGAAATATCATATTTTACCCTTTTTCGTTAAAAACAAATGTTGCCTTCTTTTATGTATGGTTTTCTCTATTTGTGCTCACTAGGGTCATAGGTCGAGGACCGAACATTGTGATATTTTTCAATGGTCGACAAAACAAAACTTTCAAACTCTCCAGCAAATTCTTTCACAACGGCAGACTGATCAATTTATCTATTGATTTCTTCTGCAAAACGTCAAGTTTTCCTGTTATTTTTTAACCATGCAGAAGCCAAGTAAGGACGAAACAGTGCCAACTTAAAGAAATACAAATTTTACCTCCCTGTTAACTAAATCTGCATCATTGTTACATGTAAATTGCGAGTGGTATTCACCAACGGCAAAATACCGAAACCTTGTCATACGGAAGAAGACTAAACGATAAACCATCGGACTATTTCGCTTTTTGCCGTACTGATAATATTTTGTCCATTACGAAATCGCCTACAGAAATTACATCCGAACTCGGCAATCGAACCCAAGGTATCACATGTGATCATAATTTCTGTATCATGTCGCCGCTTTCCAGGCAACAAAGCTTTCCTCTTCAAGTAAAACGCATTTGTCGGGATTTTAGCTTCCTTACACTTATGTCCTTTAGTGCTAAGCTTTCCTTGCCAGCCAGATTTTTCTCTCACTGTTTCGGATCCCGCGGCAGACCTCTGAATTATTTTTGCAACCGTTTACGTACTGCGAAGCGAAACGTCACGTGATTAGTGTCGAATCATGACAGGTCGAATCATGACCGTCGAATCATGTCTGAAAATCCGGGTGTATACATAGCAATGAAATAAGCTGTAAGACTTCGGGTTAAACTAGAAAATATTTTTCACTTGTTGGCTTGAGGTCTCATAGGATCTACAGATACCAATGCATTCCTTCAATGTGAGTTTGGAGACTTACAGGAGCTTCTTGCGAGCTTGATTGTCTCCTACTCCAATGACAATCCTGTCTCTAGACTGTTCTCTAACACTCCGAAGTTACACGTCTTCACCAACGTGCGCAAGGCCGTGACGTAAGCATGCAAAGACTTGTTTGGTTCTTGGTCTCTTGTTAAATCGGTATCTCTCGTAGATTTTGTTTGTCTCTCCGATATGATAACGCTGTAGCTTTTGGAGAACAATATCAATGTCCTTCTAATCGTCTTCATTCTCGAATTCTAAGCCTTCGTACACATCTAGAGCATCTGAGCCAATACTGGTTAGCAGTGTGGCAGTTCTCAGCTATTTATTTACAGCAGGGTTTTCAGGGTCTTTCAGACGTGCCGCTGTTTCGTAGTTGTTCCAATCAAGGTGGAATTTCTTCCAGTTCGTCGCCAAGTTCCCTGTTAGCTCTAACTTTGAGGGCAATGGGATTTTTATTGGGATTTGTATCAGATTTTGTTGTGCAACGGCTTCTTGCATTTGCACAGATGCGCCGCTACCCTCGGTCATACTTAGTAATTTGAAGTTAGCTAGATTCCTGCAGCAGAGATTTCCTTTCGAAAACACAAGACGATTCCAGTCACCGTTGTCTTCCGGTATTCGTTGTAAAGAAGGTTATGAGTAGCTAGCGCCGAACACAGCAGAGATCGGAGACTATCTCCTATAAATATCAGTTCGCAGATCAGAGTTGCTCAACCACGTGCGTGTGAACAAATCTCTCTCCAGAACACTGTCCGGTACGCTGAGCGGTAATCCCTCGACGGCACCAATTGCAGAGAATGGTTTTCACTTCTGCACCGTATTCCCTAAAGACTGACGATGGAACACCAGAGCACGTAGACACAACGTTTTTAATCTTATAAGCCAAGTGTACATCAACAAGTGACCAGCGCGAAAACATGCAAGATCCCGGATTAAACTAAACTGTATAAATTAACTTGACATGCATAAATTAACATTGTTACACGTGAGTCCCTAATTCAATTTGATTGTGCATGCTTTCGTTCCTTCCTAGAATATGCATGGCAGGCTTTCTATTCCAGCTTGCTAGCCCCTTAGTCCGACCAAATAGAGAGGGTTCAGAAGAGAGCCTTAAGGATTCTGTTGCCAGAGGTCTCATATAGCAAGGCCCTGGAAGATGCAGGTTTAAAAACACTCGTTCCTAGACGCAAGGAATTATGTAGCACTCTGTTAAACAAATTGTGTAAGCGATGGCCAGCATAAACTAGCTGGCCTGCTGCCCACGCGCAACGACAATGGGAGATATGACTTTAGGAATTGGCCTATGTTTTCAATCCCACGTGTAAAAACAAAGAGGTTTAGAAATTCTTTTATATTGCACTATGCAGATAAGCAACAATTGTAAATAGAACTTTTATACTGGATTTCGTGTAATTTTATCATTATAAAATGGTTGTTTTTCTTATTATATATGGGGAATTTTTATGAGGTTACATTTTTATCAACATGTACTTAACACAAGTAATTCAGCTTACAGCTGCTAGTTGTAATTTCAAATAAACGATTTATGTATCTATCAATCCAATCGTTTACACAAAACAAACAGAAGACGAAGACCTGCCAGAAGTGTTTGTAAAAAAACTGAAATCTCTTATAGAGTTGGTTTATAACAATTCCTATAAAAACCCGAAGCCATTTACATTAACAAAAGAAGAACAAAAAGATTTTGAATCCTCAGTTGTATGCCGTTTATGAGAACAAGAGTTTTACGAAGATGATGATACTGCAAAAATGTTGAAGGTTAGAGACCACTGTATTTTACTGGTAACTACCGAGGAGCTGCTCATAACCAATGCAATCTTCAAGGGTATGATTCTCATCTCTTTATTAAACAACTAGCTAAGATTAAAGGAGATTTATCATGTATTCTGTCAACTGAAGAGAAGTATATTCCATTTTCAAAGACGATTAAAGTAGGAGAGTACAAGTAAAAAACAACAGGTGAAAATGTTTCAATAAACTTTGAAATAAGATTTATAGATAGTTTCAAATTTCTTCAAACAAGCCTTGCAAATCTTTCTAATCTTCAACCGGAAGATTTTAAAAATACTAAAGCAATAGTTAAAAACAATGGCTGCGGTCACATCTGGGCTACTAACTATAGTTAAGATGGGGATAACTATAGTTAGCTATTTCGGTCACGTGACCGCTTCTCTGTTCGCTCTAACTATAGTTAGAAAATGTATGTCTCGGTGATCCAAAACAATACAGACTAACTATCGTTATACCCAAGCAGGGTTCGTGGGTTAGTATTAAGTTTACAAACAAACAACCAATCAGAATGCGACACTTCTTTTCGCATGTGCGAGATGAGCATATATAAACATGCAAAATAAAAAACAAGCGTGAAGCGAGGAGAAAACCAAAAACAACAAACAAAAAATTTACATACAACAAGGTAGCAACACGTGTAGCCTTCAAGCTTTTGTGCAGCCGTCCTTGTATTTGCTGCAAAAGAATTCCAGACCTTCCTCACAGGATTCTTTTCCGGAAACTACGAGGTAAGTTGAGTCCTAGCTTTTCTTGATGTTCTATTCTAATGCTTTAACTTTTAATAATTTTTTTAACTTTGAAAATTATCCATTGTTTTACCCAGCAAGAAAGTACACCATACCAAGTGAATCAAATCTACAGTCACTGCAATGGAAGATTTGTATTTACTCAGTCGTATTTTCCCTTCTACCAACCTCAAAGTGATGTTCATCCCCCTAATCTGGCTGTATCTGGCATCGAAGGCGGGCCAGACTCGCCCCAAACTCTTGCTTCTTCAAAGCGTCCAAGAGAGAGAAGAGATTGGATGGATACAGAAACCTCTCTTTTGTGGGAACTCTACGAAACTGCTTATTCCCTGGGAAAGCTTACTAGTAAAACTAAAGAAGATAAATAACCTAAAGCCAGATCACAAGAAGATTGAAAACAAAAGAATTGCAAACAGGCCAGGAAACCCAAACCAAACCTTTCTGGTTTGACATGGTCAATCGTGTTTTTGGTTCCAAGGATGTAATCAACCCGCCATTTCTTTTTAATTCCAGTAAAGGCGGATACGAAACTATAAGAAAGGCCACAGGTCGAGAGGAAGAGAAGGGTCATGTACATCAACTTGGTGATGGAGATGAAATGTTCGCACTTGCTACATCAAAAGGAGGGGAAAAAGCAAGGCCGATCGCGACCGCAAGTCAAGCAATTTGGAGCAAACACCCGGTAAAAGGTTACGTAAGACGACGAGGGCTGAAAAAGCTTAGAAACCAGACGAGAACGGAGGGATTCATTAATGTTCTAGACAAGCAGGTAAAGTTGCTGCAAGAAGCTCAAGAGAGAGATGACAAAATGATGGAGAAATTGATACAGTTAGAAGAAAAAAGGGCTGAAGAAAGGTAAAAGGAACTTTTAATGGCAATAATTAACAAATTGTAAGTCAGGTTGTTTATTTAGTTGCTATAAAACTCATTCCATTCAGTGTTACAATCACTGATGATATGTTGTGCTCAATGTTCAAGTGAAAATTTAATGACCATTATTAACGAAGTATCAGGTTGTCGAACTCTTGATTACACAAGATGAGAAGGGTTCCGCCTTGATTTTAAGATATTTCAGTGAAGTTGAAGTTTCATTATTCAAGTAAATATCACAAATGCTAGACGCACCAAATGTAAGCATTTATTTCCATCACATAAAGAATTGACATCAACAGAACTCAATAAAGCATTTTTTGTTTACAAATGTACAAGATTTCTTTGCAAAACACCCCTGACTGGGTCTGCATTGGCACTTGTTCCCTTATCAACCGAACGTTTCTTGGGAGAAATCTCGACTTCTTAAGTAATCCTAGTTTTTTAGCAAATGATTTTTTGAGTTCCAGCATATGCTGAGTCCAGGTCAGTTTCTCATCGACGGTCACTCCCAGTAATCGTGATTTCGATACCCATTCAATCGTAGAGTTTCCGATAAAGATCGGGGGAATGTTAACCGGGGGATTTCTTCTAGAGATTAGCATGGCCTCACTTTTACTTGGGTGGGGTGTTAATCTGTTAATGAGGCACCACTCGTTTAATTCACGAAGTGCAGAATTTAACTTGGCAATACTTTTTTCTGCCGTGTCACTTATGCAGTAAACCGTTGTGTCGTCGGCAAACATATAGACAGATCCGGAAGATCGTTCCTGAAGAGAGTGAAAAGTGTCAGCCCCAAGACAGACCCTTGAGGAATTCCAAAAGAGATCGGTATCATCTCTGAAGTTGATCCATTAACAGCTGTGTATTGCTGTCTTTCCTTTAAGTAACTTTTAAGCCAGTCCAGGAGTAGCCCTGATATGCCAAAGTCCCTTTCCAACTTCGTTTCGAGAATGGCGTGCGACACACTATCGAATGCCTTTTTAAAATCTATGAAGGCAACTGCTACCACTAAGCCTGCGTCCACAGCTTCTCTCCATGTTTCGGTAAGTTGTATTAGTAACAGTTCTGTTGAAAATCCTGCGCGGTATACCCATTGTTTGTCCGTGACTAGATTATTAGCTTTGTATACATGACGAAAAATTGTGTCATCGACTACTGATTCAAGGATCTTGCTTGGTACGCTTAGCAGTGATATCGGTCTATAATTGCAGCAGTCGGTTTCATCGTCCTTTTTATATATTGGAGTAAGCCTCGCAGTTTTCCAGCTAGTGAACACCCCACCGGTGGTAATGGAGAGTCGGAATAGGCTGAGGAGTGACGGGACAATCGCATCGCCTGCTAGCTTTAAAAGCTTTGGAGGTATGTTATCAGGACCCGTGGATTTTCTTGTTTTTAGCGCCTTTATTTTCTCCGCTACTAAAGACTTTGAAACATAGGCATCTGTGAGTCGAGGAGTATCCGTCTCGCCCTTGTCTGCGCAAGTTATCCCGTGTCCACAAGTTGTAGGCGGGGGTAAAGTGTTGGATAGCTTTAGGCCAATCGTAGCAAAATAAGAGTTCATCAGGTTTGCTTTTCCCGAGTCCGTAAATTCCAGGGTGCTGTCATCCTTTTTAAGAGGCCCGATGTTTTTGTGGACCTTGGGGTTGGTAGCCCTTTTAAGAAGATTCCAGTATGCACTAGAAGATTCCAGTAAGACACGATGTAGCGGCCCCAACAAACGGGCTGTAATTACTCTGTTTGTTCAACTTAAATTAAGCGTCTTTAAAACTCAACAAACGAATCCTCTTTCACAAATACTCCAGGTGGAAGTTGAGTGGCTTTTTGAAGAAGGAAATGGTTGGCTGTCAGCGCTGAAAAATCTTCAGGATCACCTGAAACAGCTGTTATGGGGCGGTTATTAACTATGGACTCCACTTCAGCTAACAGTGTTCTAAGTTCAATGTCACTGAGTAGCCTATCTGCAACTGCGCTCTTTAGGTACTTCTTCATAATCTATACAAGACGTTCCCAAACTCTGGACGCATGGGGGGCAGCAGGAGGCTGAAAGACCCACTTGATACCCTTCTGCTGCAACTGGCGATCAATCTTCGTTCCAACGCGCAATAGACTCTCTCAACTCTCTGTTGGCTTCTACAAAATTAGTGCCCCTGTCAGACCAAATCTCTTTAGGTGGTCGTCTTCTACTTATGAATTGGCGGAGAATCATAATAAAATCATCTGTTTTGAGTGAGGGCTTTGCATCCAAATACACAGCGCGAGTCGTGAGACATGTGAACAAACATCCCCATCGTTTCGCGGTTCGGCGGCCCCACTTGACCATTAATGGTCCGAACAAGTCAACACCAGTAAATGTAAATGGAGGATGGTACGCCTCTAGCCTTGCTCTTGGTAGCGACCCCATAAACTGCTCCAAGGGTTTAGCATTCATTTTTCGACACCTGATGCAGCCTCTAATAGTCTTCTTCACCAGATCTCTTCCACCAATAATCCACGACATTTTTTGCAGTTCACACAAAGTTTGGTCTCTTCCACTATGAGCAGCCGACTCATGGTAGTGATGAACAATCAACTGGCTCACGTGATGGCGCTTTGGTAGAACCATTAGATGTTTCTCATCCCACGAGAGTACCACAGCTTTCTGCAATCGTCCTCCAACCCGCAGTACTCCATCTACTAACACTGGTCTCAGGTTCCCCAGCTTGCTAGATTTCTTGACTTCCTTATTCGGCTTCACTTCCACCGGCAATCCTCTTATCAGCGACCCACTGGCAAAATCATTTTATCCACGCTACACGGCGTTGCAGGGTTAACCATGAGCTGCAGCTCTCTATAAGCGTACTTAAACCTGCAGGACTATCTTCTTACGCGTTTTCATTCTCACTGCACTCGGTGGGAGTGCCCATACAACGTGTTTCAACACTTATGGGGTGAACATTTGCTGCAATTCGCACTTCCGGTTCACTGTCTGGTACTTCTCCATAAGTTACTACACCTGGCCAGCACCCCTCTGCCTCCCAAAGGAATTCAGGTCCTCTCCACCATGGATGTTGACAAGAACGTTTCGGAGGTTTTAAGCCACGTGAAGCATCATCGGCAGGGTTAACCTTTCCTGGCAGTGCCTTCATTGGTCAGGTGATGTAACTTCACGTATTTCAGCCACACAGTTAGCAACGTACGTCTGAAATTGTTTAGATACATTCTTAATATACTGCAATTTTGTCTGAGAATCTGAAAAAAATGTGGCCTTGCTTATCTTGTAAGTCAACTCATCTACAAGCACTCTGTACATCTTCACAGACAATGTCACTGTTTGCAGCTCAAGCCTTGGAATTGAAATTGGTCTCACTGGTGAACTCCTCGACCTTCTAATGAGAAAAGAACATCTCACAGTTCCGCAAGCATAGACAAATCTGAGGTACGAGCACATGCTGTAGCCATCTTCTGAAGCATCAGAAAACAAGTGAAGGGATATGTCGACTACTGTGCTGTCGGTCACGTGACATCGCGGTACTTGAACTTGTGACAAGACAGCCAACTTGCACTTCCACTCGTTCCAGAGGCTTTGTAAATCTTCAGGTATCAGATCCTCCAATCCCAGATTTAGCTTCCACAGTCTGCAAAATCTTCTTAGCTTCCAGGACAACCGGGCAAACAAATCCCATGGGATCATACAGTGAGCTTACTGCTGACAGAATTCCACGTTTAGTAGTTGGTTTGTGGGGTTCACAAACCTTGAATAAGAAAGCATCTTTCTCCACATCCCACTGCACACCTAGTGTCCTTTCTACAGGGAGGTTCTCAAGATCTAAATCTAGAGTTGGCTTCGCACGATCTGCGTCAGGTATCTTAGACAGCACCTCTCGACTGTTACTCATCCATTTCGTCAGTCTAAATCCAGCGTCGCTAAGCAAACAAGTCACTTCGTCGGCTAGCGAGCTTGCTTCAGATACTGTCCTCACTGACTTCTCGAAGTCATCTATGTAAAAATCCTTGTCGACCACACTTACAGCCTCATCACTAAATCTTCCTTTATGGTCCTCTGCAGCTTTCTTTAGGCAAAAGTTTGCTCAACTGGGTGAGTCTGTGGCACCGAAGATTGAGTTGTCATCTGAAATTCCGAGAGGTTCTCAAGGTCACTGTCCTCCCACCAAAGGAATCTCAAAGCATCAGAGTCCTCTGGGGGTACTTTGACTTGGTTAAACATGCCCTCTATGTCAGCTACTAGTGCTATAGGATATTGTCTAAAACTCAGCAAAATACCAAGCAAATTGTTAGTTAAGTCGGGACCCTGGAGCAACTGGTTGTTGAGAGAAACTCCGTCGTGCAAAGAAGCCACATCAAATACTACACGAATTTTGCCCTGCTTTTGGGGGTGAAACACACCGTGATGTGGCAAATACCATGTCCTTTGGCTTCGGCGCAGCGCCTCTTCTTCAGTCATATTTCTGGCATATCTTTTCTGAATGAGGCTCTCCATAAACTCTCTGTACTTTCTGTGAATGTTCTCATCACGCTTGAGTTTTCTCTTTAAAAACTGTAGTCTTACCTCTGCTGTCTGCCTGTTGTTTGGCAGCCAGGGGGTATCACTCTTCCATAACATTCCAACTTCGTAGTGTCCACCTACTACACAAACTGAGTTTTCCATTCTTTTCTTTGCTTCCTGGTCGTTAACTGACATTCCTTTCTTGGAACTCCTGTTCATGTCAATGTCTTCAAGGCTTAGAAACTGTTTCATTTGATGATCTACCAACTCATCACCATACTTTACAAAGTTCACATTCTTCAGGTGGGAGCACATAATATTTGCAGCATCAACTGGCCCAAGCACAGAGAGCTTGTAAATGAAAGACCAGGTGATGGGGCTCCTGTGAGCAAACAAGTTACTCCAGCATGGGTGTTGTCCCTTTGGATTGTCAAGGGAGTAGGCAATTTTGAAAGACGTGGGGATGATGAAAGAGGATAATGGGCTCACCATGATCCACCAAGACTTGTATAGAGTGCAAATGGTTGTCTCCAACAGGATGGGCCAGGACAGACCTGGAACTAAAAGCATCTGAAAGGTTGTTTGTCTACCATTGCTCAACTGTATGAGAATTTCCAGAGTCAACAGCCTTTAACTGAGAATTTGCATCAGCAACAGAGACTGCAACAGGGGTTTCAAGCGACTGGTACTTTAAGTGTAGACATTTGGGGGCACCGTAATCAGCATTCAGTGACTGACAAGAGAAACGGAGCAACAAGTGCCAAGAGGCAGTGCAGTTTCTCCCAGCAGAGACAATTGATGTCCAAAGGATGTAACGTTCTTTGAGTTTTCCGGCAGTGTTCGTATTAGCTGGTAGGCCAAACAAAGTTTTCTTGATATTCGGTGGTTGTTTTCTCAGCGGCTTGTTTGTTTGAGGTTGCTAGGCCTGTGACTAACAAAAGGATTCGCTGTTCTGTATGATGAATAGCTTTACAATCCCATTTCTGACATTTGTGAAGCCGGCCACCTGAATACTGTTATTAGATTGCTTACAAGTTGCTGAGAAGAACTTATTGAAATTTCTGCAGATGTCAGGCGATTTCCTTTTTGGTGCCGTGGACTGTTGTGCACATTGATGAGCTTTGTGTTGATTTTTACCGCAAATCCAATACAAACTTTGCTTATTTTGAAAACAAGGTAGTTCCATGAGGAACCCCATTAAAACACAGTGTCTGATCTAGAGCGTGCGCCTTTAACCAGCGTTCACTTCTGAGGAATTCCTCTATCCTTAAACCCTGGTTTGCGTCATCCGCAGGATTGATAGCATCTGGACAATGTCTCCACTGGCGTGGAAAATTCAGTTCCCTGATTTCAGTTACTCTGTTTGCGACATAAGTCTGGAAGCACCGGCGTTCATTCCTGATGTAATTCAGCACTATCATCGAGTCAGTGCAGAAGATAACCTTCGCAAAACTAAACTCTAACTCTCGTCTAACTGCTGAGTCGATCCGCACGGCAAGAAGCGCTCCTTGAAGCTCAGGCCTCGGAATGCTGGCGCTCTTGATGGGCGCATTTCTAAATTTCCCAGTAACAAAGGCGCACTCAGTGAAACCGTCCAGATCCTCCAAGCACAAATAAGGAATAGTTCCATAACCAGATTCTGAGGCGTCACAGAAGTAATGCAGTTGAAATGTGACTCCATTATGTTCTAAACGACTGAAGTAGCACCTGGGAACAGTTATTTCCCCGAGGAGGGGAAGACTGCTCTTCCAAACTAACCACTTTTCAAGAGTTTACCCACTAATCGGTTGATCCCATGGGGCTTTGGGATGCCACAAACTTTGCATGATCTGTTTGGCTGGCAGCATTACTGGGGTTGCGAAGTTCAAAGGATTAAAAACTGATGAGATCATCGACAGCACACCGCATAGTATTAGGCTTGTTTAAGTCTGCTATTTTAAAACCAAACTTGTCTAACGCAATGTTCGATTCCACTTTAAGAGCTCAGTTAACAGGCAGCTCATCAAGATCGAGGAGTGATGCTGGCACAGCTCTCTCCTCAGCAGGTATTTGAGCCAACACGTTACGTTCATTGCTTATAAACTTTGTCAAATTAAACCCTCCCTTAGCACACAGCTCAATCAGTTGACCGGCCAGTCTTGTCACTCTAGCAGGCGTGGGCACTGTCTTCAATAGATCGTCAACATAGAAATTGCATCATAGCATCTGAACTGTGATGGTGTCAAAATTTCTTATCATTATCGTCCGCTGTTCGCTTGAGAGTTGAATTTGCTACACATGGTGAGTCGGTCGCGCTGAAGATGTGCACCGTCATCACATACTCCTCTAATGAATCACCTGTACTCTCATCCCACCACAGGAATTGTAGGGAGTCTTGGTCTTCTTCACGAACCCTAACCTACTGGAGCATACTTTTGATGTCAGCTACTATTGCAGTGTTCTCTTGTCGGAATCTGATCAGGACCCCAATAAGACAATTTGTGCTATCTGGACCCCGTAGCAGGTTATCGTTGAGGGAAGTTCCATTATTTTCAGCGGCAGCATCAAAGACAATTCGCACTTTTCCTGGCTTGTTTTGATTTATGACAGGAAAGTGAGATACCATGTTGTAGCGCTTAGATGATCAGCTTCTTCCAATAAGAGCTTACGGGCATAACCCTTGCCAATGTATTCGTTCATCACTGCACGGTATCTCTGCTCGAGATCGGGGTCTCTAGAGAATTTCCTTTTCAGTCCGCACCTTCTCCTCTCTGCTTCACAACGGTTGTTGGGTAACCAGACATCTTCTTTGCGCCACAACAGACCTGTCTCATAACGCCCGTCAGACAACCTAGTCGTCCTTTGCAAAGTTTCATCTGTGCGCATATCTTCCATGGACCAGTTATGCAGTGGTTATAGCCTGTTAACTTGTTCGCCTTCTCAACTTTGAGGGGCTCCTTGGGTACCAACGGCTTCTTACTTCCAGAAATCTTCAACTAATTCACGCACATTCTTTTCGCAGTTTGTAAAGTTCACATTGATCTCCTTGAAGGAAGGGTGTCACAATCCACCCCAGAGAGCCTCAGAACGCCTTCAGACGGTTGTCAGGTGAGATAGGCTTTCGGACTTCGAACACCTCATGAGCATAATCTATATCCTTTCCTATGAGAAAGGAGCCAGCCTTGACCTAAACCTCAGGAATCTCTGTATCTTTCAGGTGGGGATAGCAACTGTTATCAATGTCCTCAATAAGACACCTTTCTGGTATATTGAACTTTTCTGACACTAGCCCCTCTTCAACTTTGATAATTTCTCCTGTCCCTGTAGCTGACTGCAACTTGAACCGCACCAACTGGAAATGTTTGCTCGTTTTCTCTACAACAGTGTTCACGTACACAAGCTGTAGCGGTCCTTTTAAAGCCAGACTGTTCGCAATGTTCTTGGTGATAATAGTTCCTCGAGAAGCATTGTCTAGTAATGCGTAAGTTGTTAGTGAAGAACCACCCGGCGCAATTACTTTAACTGGCACAAGGTGCAATAAAATAGTTCTTGAAGGAGCTTCTCTAATGGTTGCATACTGTTCCATCGCTCTTGGATTTTGAGGAAATTGCGTCCCTTGATCCTTGTACTGGATGTCGGCCTGTGCTGCCTGTATCTCTCTTTGTCTGTCCAGATGGGGATCCTGTGCCGTATTGGTGTCTCTTAGTCCAGGGGGATTATACAACAATCTGTGATGTCGCCCGTCACGTCCACAACCACAAAAGATTCTCGATTCACACCGACCTTGCATATGACCCGATTTCAAACAGACATGGCACAAGTTGACATGCATAGCTATATCCCAGCAAGCTTGAATTTCATCAGATATAAATTGCTCACACTCAGCAAGCTCATGGTCCTTAGAGCAGCGCAAGCATTGCCTAAGGTTGCGTTTCTCAGAGTTCTGATGATTAATGCTTAAGCCTCCGGCTTTGAGGTCTGTATGAAATACTCTAGTGTGCCCTCTTGAATTCAATGTCGGCCCCTTGATAATCATTGCGTTCTGCTTTTCCGGCTTCTTTTCACAAATCCCAGATCATTCTTAATTGCCACCTGACGCCTGACAAACTTTGAAAGATCTGACAGCCGTGGGATTCCTCCCTTTTCCCGAATGCTGTATGAAACTTCTCCCAAGCTCAGCGAAATTAAGTAAACCAGTATAGTCATTATTGTGCAGCTTTGGCCCCTTTGTCAAACCTTCTATACACGCTGCAGCGACTTGCTGACCATAGCACTCGTGTAAAATTCTTAGGACTGAATCGTATGAACATCCCCAGACTCTCTCGACTACTTCATTGTCTTCGCCAGACAAAAACTTGGGAAGAAAATTCTAATTTCTGACTGTCTTTCAAGATTCCATTCTCCAAATTGGCTCGAAGTCTGTTTCTGAAGGTTGGGTAATCACTTGGGTTTTCCTGAGAATTTCATAGGGTGCATTCCCAGAAGCATTGTTAGCTTTAGCAGGATAGCTGAAGTCTGATTACCCTCAACAACAGGCTTGTCCCTTTGAGCTTTGTTCTTAGGCGTCTTGCACCCCTCCCCTAGTGGATCTTTTCCCGCTCTGCTCATGGTCGTGTTTGGGCTTTTTAGTCTTATCAGCACAGCTCACTCTCCATTTCTCGATCTTTTCTTTATCACTCATTGTCGGTAGAAACTCAAAACCACTTTTACCCCCCAGACAACGTTGGCTTCTGCTATCGCTCCTATCATCTTCTAAAAGCTGAGCCTCTTTCTCGGCCATTTGGATCTGAAATTTTTGTTCGCATGCTCTTTTCTTCCTTTCAAATTCCAGTTCAATTTTCTTTCCTCCATGTCAAGTTCAAATTGTGCCAGTTCTTGCTCTTGCTCTAATATTAACTTTTTCATTTTGATATCCCTTCTTAAATCTTTTAATCTCGATTGTTTCGAAGAAGGCGCTGATTTAGCTGACTCTCCTTTAGTATTCGTTTTCTTCATTTGCGTTAAACAATCATTAATTCTTATTGTGCATTCTTCATACTGAACTACTATTTTTGTACCTGTCTTGCACACGATCAAGTTCGCCTTTTGGCAAGGTCTTCGTAATATATTTCTCATAAAAACTGTCGTACCTCTCCCAAGCCACATCTAATTCCTTTCGAACACTCTCTAAGTCGCCGACTCTCTTATCCGCGATGCAGGCATTTGCGTTCCTTATCCACGTGCTCACTCGACTAAGGAAGCCAGCGAGGGATCTCTTTTGATGTTCAAATTCGTCGACTGATTCTTCCATATTTTCGTCCCAGGGAGGACCTTCGGGATCTTTCTCCTGTTCAGCTTGTCGAATGATGTTGTTGTCTTTTCGCTGTTCTTCAAGATTCATTATTTAATTCTGTCTCAGTATTCTAACAGTTCAAGTTAATTAGCATTCACACATCGACATTGGCTTGCCTCTTTCAATTCTACATTTCGAGGATTAATAGTGTGATTTAGAGAATGATTCACTGAAAAAGGAGAAACCGAAATGTGCTGATAAGATATTCGCTCGAAGGGTGAAAAAACTCTTAGAAAAAAGAAAAACTACTTACACTAGCGTGAATCTTTGGGTCTTCGTTTCTAAATCTGAATTCTTCTGTTCATGTCCACTGCTAGCTCAAACTGGATTTTTGGTTTTGAAATTTTGCTTTTGAAATTTTGTTTGTGCAATTTTGCTTGTGAAATCCAGAATCCTGAGTTCTGGAGTCCAGAATACAGCTCTACGAATCTGGAATCCCACTAACGACTGAAATTCAGAATCCAAGTTCCACTGACAAATACTGGAATCCAGAATCCAAAACTGTCTTGATTACCTTACATGGGGCGAAATCATCAATAAACCAAAGTATGCATAAACTGTATTTTCATTTAGTTTTTATGCTTACCTGAGCCTACGGGAACCAAAACGTCACGTTTCCTTTATCTCTTTCGACGTTTTCAAGTTCACCCCTCTGGATACTTTACTCTTACAGCGACCATGTAGCGGATGGTGGCATTTTGTTGACGGACAATATTTTACTCCAAGTAAAGTGTGATGCTTTGGGCAAATACCATATCCTTACCCTCCTTGTCAAACAAACCAACACGAGCAAGTGTCAGCTATCTCTCAGAGGCTACACATGATTGTTTTGTTTGTAGTTCTCTCCAGTGCGCCTTTGCAAGAATTCAAGGGAAAAACTGCGTACGATCGGGTTATCTGGTTGATACATCACACTCACTTGTACAGTGCCCGGCAAAAGAGCACGAGAACTGCGACATTGTTTTTAACGAGAGATCGTTTCACCTCTACATCGTATACCTTAAACTGATCGGCACAGCTGAGGAAAACTTTGAAATATTCATGCACGTGCATTTATTGATAGAAAGCCTGTGAATCTCAACAACCTTTTGATGTATCTGGGCTATTAGGTCTATTACATCTCCTAAAGCAGAATTCAACATTTAGAATCGCCCAACCTTTATACATGTGAGAACTTCGATTTTAAAGAAAAAAACAAAGCAACTCGATTCGTTCTGATCAATTTGTATTTTTAAAGTGAAAGTTTGTTCTTTTTTGGTTATTATGGAAGATCGAATCAAGCTGTCAAATTACAAAGATGCGTGCGCTTGCCAGGAAGTAATTTCCAGGGATTATTTTACAGCCAAACGCTTTTCTCCTTTTTTTCTCCTTTTTTTTTTCCATTTCAGCCGTATTAAGCAACCAACATTGAGTCGCAAGCAAATCAATTTATTTTCAGAAGAACGAATTCTTTTGGATAACAATTTCTGCATCAAGATGTAATGTAGTGTGCAAGTTTCAAGCGAATATATTATTTCTTTATTAGACGAACAAAAGCAAATTTTATTATACAATCATTGTAACATTCAAATACAGACAATGGAAGCCTTTTAATAGTGTTCTGTGAATCGCGTGTTTGACTTGGCGAAGAGTAAGGGACCGGTCATTATTTATCGCCTGGAGGGGGGTCGGAGTATTTTTGTTGTCACATCGGAGCATTTACCTGATCCCCCCGTAGAGTATCTAGTTTTTTAAAGATCCCCCCTTATTGGTAGTGGAAAGTTTCATGATCCCCCCCCTTTCTCCCAGCCACCGCCAAATAACTTTTTGAATATGCAAGTGATATCTTTAATAGTGGTACTTACGTCTCATGGACCTTGAACAACAACGGTAGATATTTGCTCGTCAGATACGAACTGAATTGTCGCGGAAGTGCCAATCTCAGGCTGTTCATCCAAATCCACGAAAACATAGTCATCATCGCTCTCTGCCTCTTCACTTTCGGATTCTTCATCCTCGGATTCCACGTCATCTTCATCACTCGACAGTTCTTCTGTTATCACAGTCTCTTTATTCTGTCGGTAATAGTGACATCGAATGGCCTTAACTTTGTCAAGTTTCCGACCCACAGTCGTCAAACCATGCTTGTTGAGATACAGGTCTAGTTCTCTTACCCGCAACTTTTCAACTTTGCCACCCTCGATGAGGTTATCCCGTTGAAAGTCCTTGTACGTTCGTTCGGCCTCTTGCCTTCTTCGCTCCTCAGCTGCTCTTGTTCTCATGTCCTTTCGGATCTCAATATCCTTCAAATGATTAACATATGCAATGACGTGCTTCTCTTCCACATTATATTTTGAGCAGAAGCTCTTCATGGTATCCTGATCGTTTCTGATACTGTCAGAATGTTCCTCGTACAGATATTTAATACATTTTCTTGGAAGGTAATCATCTGGTGTCCTGCCCGTCGATTCCGTCTAATAGATATCCATGAAATGTCCAGGATTGTTTGAGTCTGGTACAGGTTGCGGAATTCTTTCCGTTTCTGGACCGACCCATCTATTGTTAGAACACCAGGAACAGAGATTGGAACTTTCTTCTCTTGACTCTTTACAGGCATCACGACAGAATTCCATAAAAAGTTCTCCACGAATATAGTGGTCTTCCATAAACGATTTGATCTTTCGGAAGTATGCTGCACCGGGCGCTTGCTCTTTGTTTCCTTCTGATGCACCCCGATAGTTGTCGAGGTAAACAGAATTGAAAAAGAATAATTCATCAGGGGACTCGCTTACTTTGCTCTTGATGTAATCTTTAAGGACAGGGGCATCATCAATTCTCTCGGCTACCTGACTACAGACATACCAGGCATTTTTTTCCATCCGTTTCTTTTCGTACTCTTCGTATGACTGGAGAGACAGTTGTTTGATTTCCTCTTCTGAAAGATCCTCAGACGAACAGGACGAAAGAACAGACGAAAGAACCTTTATACAGAAGAGCATACCTTAAGGCCGTTTGCAAGTGATGAGCTCAAATATTTCCAGGAAGCTCAAGAGCGAGTGAAGGCCTTACACCAAGAGCTGCAGAAAGCCTCCAATGCGCTCACGACCACCCTCATGAGCTTGAAGAGAAAGTTCCCATCTCTCATGGGGAACAACGGCCTATCCCGAAGAAAAAAAGAAAACAAGAGAAAAGTGAAAAAAATCAAGGAGAAAAGGTTACGTCAGCGAGCAGCAATTCTCCTAGAAAAACTTACCTCAAAAGAGGTAGCTAAAGAGGTTTTCGATTCACTCGAAAAGAATACTTACAAATGTGTCTCAAGTATTAATGCAGGATTCACTGCGAGATTTGTCAAGCATCTCCACCTGGATCCTCTGCTATGGCTTTTGGAAAGAGGCGTGTTTGAAACAGAGCTGGCACGCAATTTGAAAGTGGTAGTGGCCAGAATGAACGAAGAGAATAGCAGTAATGGTGCTGAAAGAGGGTCAAGTTCAGGCGAGGATTCTGATGAATCTGACGTGGAGACTGTGCAAGAGCCAGTGGAGAGGGCTGCCGAAGATTCTGACACGGAAGCGGAACAAGATACAGCCTCACCAAAATAAACACTTTTTTATTTGTTGTTTTCATTCGGCCGCGTATTAAAATAATGAACGTCTATGATTTTAGATTACGATTCTCTATAAAACAAACTGAAACGTCATGAAACAATTTTGAGCAATTGTAAGTATTCCATTCTCAAAATCTTTATTACCTTTCTAATTTCAATAGATCGTGCCTCATTAACAACGTGTATGTTAGACTACGATAGTGATACTTTTTTTACAAAATGGAGGGTCTGTAAAAGGGTTTGGGTTTTGTGTCTGGGCTAGAATAAAGTTTATATAATACAAAATACAACTGAACGTGGTCTTGAATATATGGTTGGGGTTTAGAGTCCTAGCGGCAAATCCTACCAAAGTATTTACAAATGCACTCACCGGGGTCCCGCGCGACCTAAAATTCTTTTTTTTTTTTTCGTCTGATCCCCCCCATTATGCTTGTCAATTACGGCTGATCCCCTAAAGGTCTTCAAAAAACCATGTGATCCCCCCCCTAAATACTCCGACACCCCCCCCCCAGGCGATAAATAATGACCGGTCCCTAAGTTCCGTTACGTAGTTCACTTATACAATAATAGAGGTCATCATAAGGCCGCCGATTCTTATGTCTTATCATGGCTTAGGACATGGCTTGGTTGAGATGACTTCTGTGATAGCAACTAGCCGTAGAATAACGAAACGTTAACAATAAAGTTTCTTTGCGTAGGATAACATTCACTGAAAATATGAAGAGATTTGGTTGAATTCTTTTAGCAGTAGAGCTTTATGCTTTCGACCAATTTTTAGATGACTTTTTGTCATTTTTGTAAAAAAAAGGGGGGGTGGTCATCTCCCCCCGGTTTTGACCAAATTTCCTTAAACTTAGAGTGAAGTAGTTTCGGGTGGACCCCTTCAAACAGGCCAAGTTTCACCAAAATTGGTGAGATGGCTTGTGCCACCCCTGGCTGGTCCTCTCGTGGATGCACTCTTAAACGTATGAAAAAGGAGGTTATTATGATATGAGTACCTAAAACACGCAATAAAGAACTCATTTATGTTAAAAATGTCAAGGGTATTATACTTAAGTTGAATGGTTTTGGTAGGAATGTTTTTGTTATACATTTCACGGAATTTATTAAGAAAAGATACATAGGCTGAATTGTCATCTGATTTATCAAGATTCACCCAATCATTAAGTTCTTACGTTATTACGGCTTCGACTTTCTTACACGATTTACGAAAGAAAGCTCTATTAAATT